ATTACAAAATTGCTATTTTTGAAATTTGGCCACGTGGCGCAGAAATAGGAGGTCTTTAGACCGAGCCAACCATATAATTAATTGCTGTGGCGCAACTCTTTCTAAATTAAAATAATATATAGTAGGCTAGACGACGTTACACTATGTTTATTAGCTGTTTTGTAAAAAATTACCTTTTGGTTGAAAGAGCTTTGTCTCGGCTGCAGCAGACACGATCAACCACAATATCCTCAATCAGAATCAAAGTGAGATTTTCACTTCAACTGCTATACAAACCTCCCCAAGCATGTCATTCTACAAGTAGATGCAAAAAGTGATGTTCCTCAACAACGAGACGTTTGGTCATGGAATTTGCAATGAGACAATTGGTGTGATAACCAAAAATGACTGATCCTCAAAATGTTGAAGGATATCACAAAGATGACTGTGCAAAAAGAAACCACTTTGATATCAATGGAGTCCTGTATCAAAGCAACAATTTCCTCTACAGAATGCTTTCGTTCTTACTGTGCACAAAACCCAAGGATTAACATTACCTCATGCAACTGTCAACATCGATGAAAATATGTTCGTACCTGGTCGAGTATATGTAATTCTGAGCAGAGTGCCTTCTTGGGATTTGCTTGAGATCTTGGATTTCAACTTTTCTTGTATAAAAACTAATCAAGAATATGCAAGATTGAAAATAGTGAACCAGAGAGGCCTTGGCCAAATTAAAAAGTAGCAAAAGCAAATAATTAATTTTTTAAATACATTGTAGAGCTGTACGACACTGATTATTACAATAAACCAAATTTGATTAATTACCTCATAATATATGGCATTTGTGCTATTAATAGAATATCCAATTATTTTACTATTACTATATATATATGAAATCAGTTGTAAGAATTATTGATTTTTTGAACAACAGAAGTGATATTGAACCTTTCGAAAAAAAAGATAGACGTGTATATCAAGTCCTTTAATAACATTATTGTCACAGGAAAAGGGAAAAGATGTGAAAAAGCACATATACTTCTTGACAAGTATAAGGAAGCAAGAATCTTTTCTTAGCTGGAAATGCAAGTGGCATGGTGGTGGCCTTCTTGGTTCTTTATCATTCAAGACTTTTTGTTGAGCCACGAAACCAGTGTAGAGGCACAGGTGACCTTCTTGGTTATTTGATGTTAAAGGTTTCTTGCCGACCCAGCATTGGTCCCATTAGGGCACAAGTGACCTTCTTGGTTGTCTGATGTTCAAGGCTTCTTGCTGACTTGATGGGATGGAATAAAAAATCAGGACATGTGATTAAAAATGTTATTGACTCATCAAATTTTACATGCTAAAGTTCTAGATGAGATTTTTTTCTTGGGAGAGGAATTGTATATCTTGCAATGAAACTTTGATTAACTTTTACGGGGGCTATCAGAATAATGGAATAATGTCATACGGGAGTTAGTAATGAATACTGCACATTAAATGCTCAAAATGGAGGTAGAAAAACAGGTAATAGCACAGTGATTGACTTTAAGGCTATTACACACACTGAACTGATTTATGACTTAGGAACCATCTCGCAGAAGTGAACAGTGTGTTATGCTGAAAGTACAAATTCAACAGAAATGAAAACAGATTCCGATTCTGATTATGTGGAAATATCTGGAAGGGACAAGTAATACCAATATATCTCGTTTGCTTTGAAACTTAATGACTGGCATTATTTTTTTGCATCTTTGATCCAGGCAAAAAGACAACCACCAAATCTACAAATGGCATTGAAGAAATCATCAGTAATAACGAAATCAAGAAAGACATTCAAGAAAGCAAATCCAATGATGATGATGTAAGCTGACATTGGGTGTAAAAAATTTTTTTTCTGGGAATTATATCTGAGTAATGTTGTTTTTCATTAGTTTCATACACCTCCTCCCAACCCACATAACGAAGCTGTGATGATCACCTCACAAAAACCTATTCTTGGAGAGCATTCTATCCAATATTTGGTCAGTAAATGTTAACAACCAACATGTGATAATGAAATCTGATCAGGTTGATGCAATTCTAGAAAAAATTCATGGTTGGCTTGTAAATATACTATTGGTAAGTAAATATAAATCTCCTTCAGATGTTATGTTAATATATTTATATGTATTAAAAGATTTATTAATTAGTCAAAAAGGATACATTTGAGAGTGCTATTATGGTTTCATTAAATCCCGAAAATACGTTTCAGAAAGTCTGCAAAACTATCCTTTATGACTTGTGAGTATATTACCAGGATTCTATATGTCCTTTTTGGCACAACTAACTAATTAAAAACAATTTTTTCATTGACTGGTGAGGGAGGGTTTTTTGAATCGTTATATCAGAGAAAGAAAATATACCGTGGAGAGAATAGTTACTTTATTCAATCTGATTATCAAGAGTACACATTTGACTGGATTGAAGTGCAAACTAAGTGTATCAAGGATGCAAAATGTTGTTTCCAGGATTTGATTTGACTTTAAATAAAGTAGGTTTTAAGGTTGCAAGCAATAAAGAAAACATATTCATTGAAGTATCTGGAGGACCGGAGAATGTTGTTACAAAACACGTCAGAGAAGATACTGAAAAGCTCATCAAGGAAGCTATGTTTGACTTGGTCTCTTTGTTTAGAACCATTTTAGATAAGAATGCAGAAAATGCAAGAAATATATGTATCTACATGGTGCAATGTATTGGTAATGTGTCAGTTTCTTTTGAACAGTATCAATCTTATTCTGATTATTTTATGTTAGGTGATCGAATTACGTTAAGTGAACTTCGTCTTGATAAGAAGCATTTTTATAAAATTTCACAGATTAAGTCAGCGATGTTACCATTCTCTTTTGAAAGAAGTTGAAAATTTTATGGAAATCTTCGAACTACTATATGCTCTGGTAGGGAAAATTTTCTATATATGCCATTCGATCTCACAGGAAAGTCCAACTTTATATTTTTATTCTCAGAACGGACTCAAAAATAAACAAATGAGCTAAAGGAGTTAATGCTTGCCAATTATATCAGTAATGTTCACATAGTTCGGGATTGGATCTGGGTTCCAAATACTATTTCAACATGGGAAAATTATAGGAACACTATATGAAGACTTAAACTATTAATATGTTTTCATGAATTTTATCAAAAGCAATCATATCAAAGCTACATAATAGAAACATATAATAATAAGGATTTTCACTTTGGTTTTTAATCGTATGTGTGTGCGTATATTGAGAGTGTGCATCAAGGAATGATTTTTTTGCATTGGCATTTATTACAAGACAAATTAACTTTTCAGTTCACGTCAATTATGTATGTGACATGCACATGATTTTTTTTCAAATCATGTACAAAAAAAACATGAATTTTTAATTTTTACCAAGTTATATTGATAGTATTTAAGAATGACAAAATCAAAATTTTCGTTAAACCGGGCAGAATTGATAATTTCAGCTCCTACTTCATCAGTTTGCTTTTGAAAGAAATTGGTCCATTTATACATGATAAAAAGAGAAACAAATCGACACTTGAATCACTGTATATTTATTTTAATTACGAATAAAATGTCCAAAAAATATTAACAATATTTACAATCATTGATGATGATGAAAATATGGGAGATGAAAATGATAATGTGATGACGATGGGCTGCGTAACCTAAAATGAGAATTTGACTAACCTGACTAAAATTACATTAATTCAAGACAATTATTATCAATAGAAAAGCTCTACTAATTAATTATTCAAAGACTTTATGTCTGTTCATTATAAATGATAATAAATTATTTACTAAATTTCAATGCTTTAAAAACTTCAATAGGCAGTAAATCAATTTAGTTGTATCTCACTTTTACTCTCCATTCAGCTCATAATGTGAATGTGGCTTTATTTCATCTACTGAAACAATATTTTACAATTAAAGTGGAACGTTTTGTCATTTTAAATTTCTATAATTAAAACTAATTCAGGATTTCTTATTATAATTAATATAATGAGAGCTTATTTGTATTTTTGTAAAGTGGTATGTATTAAATCGTGGAATGTTAATATATTTTGTAGTATATGTTTTATATGCCATTTGTAAAGATGGAATTCATAATTTTATTCATGAAGGTTGATTGGTTTACAAAATGCAATTACTCATTTACTGTAAATTTAATTACATGAAAGTTTGTCATGCTAATAAAAAAATAAATTATATATATTATGATTACAATTTCCAAAAGTAAAAGGTATCATGATATCTGAAAGTATTTAAAAGTGTAACTATTACAGATATTTGAATAATAATAATAAGAATCAATCATTTCTATAAAATTATGAATATTTGAATATGGCTAGAGATATGAACAGGAACACTAATTAGTGGTCTATGCCAAGTATAAATTACTGTCTTATAAGAAAAACTGGAGTACATTTAGTTCTGAATGTAACATTTAAACATTTAAATAAATAATCAATTATCATAACAATAATTCTTCTAATCAAAATAATACCTATATTGGTAAATCCATAACATATTCGATTTTTTTTTTCATTTACGTTGTGCAACAAACAAATTATTCTTAAAAATGTTTGAAATAAAAAATATTCCACCTGAGCTTCTGACTGAAATATTCAAATACATTGAAGATGATTATAAAACATTATATTCTTGTATTCTTGTCAACAAACAATGGCACAGTATCAGTATTTCAACTTTATGGAGAAACCCATTTTATTCTCCTAACAGTGTTAAAATATTAATTAATTGTTTATTGGAAAAAGATAAGGATTCCTTGACTAAAATCGAATCAGATTTTAAACTATTGGAGAAACCACCATTATACAATTATGCTGGGTTTGCTACTATGTTTCCAGATAATCTTTATTATTGGTACCTAAGAAAATCTAAAGCATTAGATCTTGCACGAGTTTTACAAAATAAATTAAGAAACTTTATTTTAGATCATTCAGCAGGTATTAGAATGTTTAGAAGTATCCACACAGATTGTAATGGGTTACTTAATCATCATAGATTTGATTATTGTTTTCAGAACCTTTATGAAATAAGTTGTTATAATTATAATGGTGAACTTTTTGATAAATTAGCAAATATTTGTAAAAATATTCAATCATTAAGAATACATTGTGATGTTAATTATAAAAATATGTATAAATTGGCACAGCTAATTAAAGCACAAAAGCAAATTAAATATTTAGATATTGCAATATCTGGAAAAAATTTACCAGATGAATTAAAAGAAGCAATATTAACACATTCACAATCAATAATTGTTTATGAATCTTATTACAATGGAGATAATTTAAATGATTTATTATTACCAACTTTTAAAAATTTATGTAGTGGAACAAAAAGTATATTAATATTAAATTAATGAAACCTATGCTAACCAGAGGTACTTTTTTTTATTTGTATTGATATTATGAGGTGTCTTTTATTTTAGCTTATAAATATTTTAATTGGAATCAAAACGCGGAGCAGATCTTGCTGGGTAATTTCAAGATTTTCATTGATAATATTTTACTTTGCATAATCATAATAATAATAATACTATAAATATTATAATCACAAGATGTCAAGGCAATACACCATTTAAAAAGAAACAATTCAAATATGCAATGTTTGATTATTGAAAATTGGCAGGTGTTGAAGCATGCACGCTACCTTGAACACTTTACAGTCATTCTCACATCTTCCTCATGTACACAAGGCTAATCTGACCACGGTGCTCCAGATGATACAATGATGCTACTGAATTTTCAGGGGGGGCGCAAAGCTCTGGAGTTTACCAAGACTGCATCAATCATCAATGACACTTTCACTAATCTTCCCTGACCAGAGAAGGCTGCTGGCATGCTGACCGAAAAGTTGCCTGCAATGATCCCACCTCTGGGATAAGGATGGCTCTGTGACCAAGTTGCAACTCTGCTGATGAATTGTAGTGCCATGTAAATATCCAAATCCATCAAAGCAACAAGAATCTGCAGCTTGTTCAAGCACAGGAGGTCACAATCCAGTAAGGTTTCTGGTCCAAACTGTTTTCTCAAAGCCCAAACTAGTTTGGGCAATTTGGGCTTCTCAACATTTTTTATAAGCATGAAAATTAAAAAACTATATGAATCAACTTGTTTTAACTTAAACAACTTTAAAATAATTTTGCCCAATTTCAGCTAGTAACAAAAAGTAGTTTGGGTTTATAAAATAATAATTTTTGCTCAAAGTATTTGGGCAATTTTGGCTACTAATAGAAGCAGTTTTGGCCAGAAACCTTAGTTTCAACTTCATGTATAGTGACTTCCACTGAGGGAACAATCAGCAGAGCTGCACTTTATAGAAATGACAATGTTTTTAGAAAGGTTAACTTCAAAAGATATTATAACAAGGTGAACAATGTGTTAAATTTTTCCAAGCACTTGGTGGCTGTCCTGATCAGGAGATATGTCATAGAAGGGGGAGTCAAATGGTTTTTCCCTATTACTATACCTTCTTGACCTGAAATTTTGACTTTTCTTAATTATAAATATGTGTAGGTGACTCCAAACCAAATGATTATGGTTGATGAAAATGGTGAAGGCAAGGAAGACTTTCCCCACCAATATCCATTAATGTTTTTCACAGGGTCACAAACAATGAATTTTTTGTTGAGAATGAGGCAGGTGGGAATTTTGTTTTAAACAGAAAGCTATACAACCTGATGTCAAAGAACAAAAGCATCAACTCTGAAGTTTATGTGATGTATGTGGACAAGTACAGGAAATATAGGTTGATCAAAAACAATCTAGGCAGGTTGATAATTTCGGTTCTTGGAAAGTTGAGAATCAGCAAGACAAACAAAAAACACTTGGTAGAGAAGAAATAGAATGGAACTTGATTCCAAGTGAGCCCAAGACAAACAAAAGCAACAGTAAAAATTATAGTGATGAAGAGGGAGAACTGGAATTGATTGAAAAATATTTCAAAAGGGTGAATAAGAAAAGGAAGCATGTCACTTCTTCAGCCTCCTCTTCAACCTCTTTGACCTTTTCAACTTGCTTGACAACTGTTTATATTTCCACCAGCTCTTCTACTGCTTCAACTGTCACAGATACTCCTAATGCTAAGGTTAAATAAAGAATGAGCTTATGATGACATGAGCAAAGATGTTCAAGAAAAATCCAAGATGAATGATGGACAATTAAAATTTATTTATTTATTTTATACTTATCATTACATTTCATGTTATACATGTATTTTTTGAATTAATGAAATAAATTATATAATGATGATACAATCTTTGATTTAAATGAAAGATAGATAAACATAAAAACTGCAACTTACCAATTAAACCCTTTTTTGAAATCATATTAATATAAATGAAAGTAAATTCATTCCACATTTGATATTATTAATTGTTGTCCCAAGAACAATATAATCAAATCATCAGTTGTTCGTGCAATGCTGAATAAAGTGAAAAAAACTATTTAAGAAAATAGATTCCCTCTTTTTTCTTTTTCTTTTTCTTTTTCTTTTTAAAAAAAATTAATTTAAAATCCCACCTTAAATTACACCCAGAAGATGTCGAAAGTTTTAACACCTCTAAAAAATTTAAAACAACTATTCTTTTTTGAATTCATACATACATCGTAATGAAATCAATCAAAGCCTTTCAAATGCTCCAAGTCATGATGATGTTGGTAATGTCAGCAATAACAGATTTTCACCAATGATAGCGGTTTTGGAATAGTATAAAAGATTGGAGGCTGTAAGCATTGATGGGTCGCAAAAATTAACAACGTTGTAAAAGAAAATATGCTTTGTAAAAAAATTGGATATAATTAGTCGTGCGTGACGTATTAAATTTTCTGAAAAAATTCCACGCT